GACACAAGATAAATTCATTTACTATATACTGATGGGAGCAAGTTATATATAACAGAAAACATGAGTATTGGGCTTTGTCAGTCTCAATACAAGCATCAGTTGAATATAGTAAGAACGGCAATAAGAAAGTGAAAACAGTCAAAGTAGAAATAAAAAAAGACACTAGTAATTTCCTTTCTTCAGCCTACCTGAAATTCAGAATCTATGCCATTTGTAAACATCAAGGGAAGAGATAACTGAGACATACACCAGGATATTTATAAGTACTTGGTGATAAGTAAAAGAAACCAGAAGCAAGTGTTTGTAGGTTGCATTCCAATTTATAATTTTAACAGGTGCTTCCTGAAAGAGTTGACACTAGATATACAGTAAGACGTCAGCTGATGAACAACTGCATTTGTTGCTCAGTACTTACAATGTAAGCATTTGCTATTATCTGTCAGCTGCACCCACAAGCAGCAAAGACAGCCATCTTGGCCATGTCAATGTTTGATTTCAGTTCCTGTAAATACACATTCCATCTTACTCTCTCCCATTTTACCTCTTTGTGGAGTCAAATACTGGTGTAAGTGTAAGCTTTACAAACACAGCATTGAAAACTGTTCTTGTCATTAGCAACATGACAATATTACAAATGTACATTTTTTCACTAAAAAATTGTAAGTCTAAAACCTGGTCTAAAAGTTGCAATGAGAGCCCACAGCTCAGCTAATTACCAGCTGGTAATCACATTATGCAGAGCTAACAGTGAGCAGAGAATCTAGCTCCCTATTTAATTTTGGTTTTGTGCCAAATTTAGATAAAGAAGAAGGGGAGTGGGGCACCTTCTAGATCTTGTGATTCATTCATACCTCCTACTGAAAGGAGAATTTCCTGGGAAAACTTACCGATAAAAGATGGTTGGAATAAGGTTTCAGGGCAGCGGAAACGTTCATTACCAATTGTGATCACTTGACCATCAGGCAATTCATAGCTCTTCTCCAGAGAGGAGGAAGAGGCAGCAGTGGCCATTTCATTCTCAAAGTCCAGTGCAACATAGCACAGTTTCTCTTTGATATCACGAACAATCTCACGTTCAGCTGTAGATATACAGAAATCAAATCAAGGTCTGGAGAAACAAAACACTAGAGGAAGAAGATGGGTCAAGGGAGACATGAGGAATTTCACAAAAGGGCAAAGCTGGAGGACCGACCTGTTGTCACAAAGGAATAGCCACGCTCCGTGAGGATCTTCATGAGGTAGTCGGTCAGATCCCTGCCAGCCAGATCCAGGCGCATGATAGCATGAGGCAAAGCATAACCTTCATAAATAGGTACGTTGTGGGTGACACCATCACCAGAGTCAAGAACAATACCTGGGAGAGAAATTGTCAGAGACCAGTTAGAATCAATCACCTATGAAATGCTTCAAACCCTTACAACACAGTGAGCAGTAACACTGAAAACAAAACATAGCATTTTTCAGGCAGCATAAAGCAGTATCATTCTGTTTTAGGCAGTTACTGCCATACATTTGCTTTTGCATTTGCTTACATGGACATTGCCCATTTGGTCAAACATTCCCATGAAAGAGTTGTTCTGTGTGGATTTTAAGCTAATCCATATGAACAGCCTTCTACTACAACACTGAGCACCAAGTGTGCTTGTGACAGTGACTGTCCTGATCCAGTAAAGGGCATCTTTTGGTGTAATACTCGTGTTAACTGCAGTATCTTCATAGTGATGTTTCCCTGTTCCCATCACAATGCAGACAAATCCATGGACTGTTCTTTCCAAAGACTGTTTTGCACTACCTTTTCTGCTAATGTTATTTTTAGTCACTATAAACTTAAAAAAAAAAAAGTCTGCAAATTTGATTTTTTTTTCTTCATGTTTGGAGTGGGAAGGAAGGGAGAGCTGGGGGGTCCTGAATGAAAAAAAATATCTAAATAGTATGTTTATTTTACCTGTTGTACGACCGGAGGCATAGAGGGACAGGACAGCCTGGATTGCCACATACATGGCAGGTACATTGAAGGTCTCAAACATTATCTGGGTCATCTTTTCACGATTAGCTTTAGGGTTCAAGGGGGCTTCTGTGAGCAAGGTGGGGTGTTCCTCAGGGGCCACACGGAGTTCATTGTAGAAAGTGTGGTGCCAGATCTTTTCCATATCGTCCCAGTTGGTGATGATGCCATGTTCAATAGGATATTTCAAAGTCAGGATACCTCTTTTGCTCTGTGCTTCATCACCCACATAGGAATCTTTTTGACCCATGCCAACCATAACACCCTAAAAGAAGAAAATACAGAAAAGCATGATTTGAGGAAGACAACATTACAGAGCCCAAACAATTACACCACAGACAACTATGCTATCTGCCAGAAAAGTACAAACATTTGTGCCACTGAAAGCTTGTTTAGGAAAAATGCGCTTCACTAAAATATTAAGTCAACAGAATTTGAAGTTCTCTCTCAAAATCTTTTTTTCCTTTAATCAGATGAAAGCATTTTTCCCCTTTTTGTTTAAAACACCATTTATTTTCAATTACCTCTTGTGGTCTAAAAGTTTGACTGATGGTAAACTGCACAATATCATGAGCAAGAAAATACAGATACAGATATGTACAAAGAGAGTTTATCAACATGAAGATAGCGAGTGGAATTAAGTCTTCTAGTGAAAAAAGACACAGCCAAAATGGCTTTATTACTATGATGGCTCAACAGCAAAGTACTCACAAGAACAGAATATAAATTCCAGATGTTTTAAATAATAGTATAAAAGACAAACTTTTTAACATGGAAACTGTAGGACAAAGAGTGCCGTTTTCTATATGCTGAAAGACTTGTCACAAAATAGGGGAAGAATGAAATGGGAACAACAAAAAGGAGACTTAGAAGGCGGTAAGAAGGGAAGATCAGAGACAGACAATCAGAGAGGAGATTCAAGAGTTTGGTACACGGGACACTGCATCAGATGGGTGGGAAGGGCCTTAGACAAACAGCTTCGTGCATGAATTGGGCCAACAGAGACACCTTTGCGCTAACACCAGCAGCACATCTGGCTTAAGGCATGGAGCGGGCAGCAGCTTTGTAGGATGCTGGGTTTGGGCTCATTAGGAGAGAGGACTGGGTGCGAGTGAAGGGAAGCTGATGAGTCTGAAATAGCCAGGGAGATAGCGATAGAAAGGAGACAACGGAGAACCAAAGAGGGGAATTCAGGGAAGCCCCAGAAAGAACTGGAAAGGCGTCAGCAGTGCCAGTACAAGGTGTGAGCGGAGGAAAGGCAGAGTGTTAGGTGCAGGACAGAAGAACTGAGGAGTGAGGTGACCCCTGGGGAGCGGGGCGAGCCCCGGTGCCGTCGGAGGGCCGGGCATTTACCTGGTGCCGGGGGCGGCCCACGATGGACGGGAAAACGGCCCTGGGGGCATCGTCTCCGGCAAAGCCCGCCTTGACCAGCCCCGAGCCGTTGTCACACACCAGCGCGGTGGTCTCCTCGTCGTCACACATCGTGGCTGAGCGGCGCGGACCTGCAAAACAGCGCGGCGGCGCCTCCAGACCCCTGCGGGCACGGCAGCGCGGACCCGGACCCCAACCCCGACCCCCGACCGGCCGTGGGCTCCCGGCACCTCCCCGGCGCGGCGGAGGCGGGAGGTCCCGGGAGGGTGCTGCGGCACTCGGCCACGCTCTGGGGCTCCATCAGCCGCCTCGTAAAGCCCCCCCCGTGAGGCTTTCAGGCCGCTAACACAGGGCATCTCCCCGGGGCACGGACTTCAACGGGAGCGTCGCGCCCCGTCGGGCGGCGGGCGCTGCCCGGGGCGGGCGAAGGAAGGAAGGGGGCGGTGAAGGAGCCTCCCCGTCCCTCAGCGCTACTCACCGGAGCGGCGGGGGGGCTGCTGAGCGGAGGCTGGGTGTCGTCCCGGCCGAGAGCCGCCGCTTTATAGCTGCCGTCGGGGCCGGAGCCGCGGCGGGCCGGGGCCGGGGCCGCCGCCGTCTCCTTATTTGGCCGGCGCCGCGACATGGCGGCGCGGCGCGGCCATGAATGGAGCAAGGCGCGGTGCGGCCGCACGGCCCATGTAAGGCAGGCGCGGGGCTGCGCGGCCCCGGCCGCCGCATGGCCAAATAGGGCCGGCACCGGGCCGCCGGGGGGACGCCGACCGAGGGAGGGAGGCCCATGAGGGAGGCCCCCGGCCCCCCTGTGTGGCCCGCAGGCTCCCGTGTGTGGCCCCCGGGCTGTGCGCCCTCCCGCTGCCCAGCCCAGGTGGGCCTGCTAGTGTCCCCTTCCAGGTGCTGAGGATGCTGGGGTCTTGCCTTTCGTTTATTTCTTTTCTCCGTGAAAACCCAAATCTGGCCAAGCTGCTGTTTAAACGACGGCCCAAGAGTTACCACTTTGGTGGTACCCACTGAGGCACGTCTCCTCAGGAAGGAGCAGCGCACACAATTTCTTTTGAACCTTGATGAACACGCAGGCAAAAAGCTCGTGCTTCTGTCGGCTTTGGGCTGGCAACATCTACAGCGCAAAGCAGGAGCTGTTCATTTACATTAACGTGCAGATACTTAAACTCTCCGGGTTTGCTCTTGAAATGCACGCTGGGCCAGTAATGCGTAGTGATATGTGTAAGGCAGAGGTGGAGAGATGGGAATAGCTTGGACCAAAAAAAAAAAAAAAGAGCGGTGTTATTAATGTAATGTGGCAGTTGTTTTCCTGCTCGGCTGTTGAAACATCCACATTGATAATTTGTTCTAACCGTGGAACCTAGAAAATCCATGTATCTTCAAAGGTTTTGTTGGTTTTTGCTTTTTGTTCTTTTTTTTTTTTTTCCCCCAGTTAAAAATAGACAGGAGAGGCATCCCTTGAGTGGGCTTGGCCTGGTATGCAAAAGCAGAGATTGTCAACGTGTGTCCCAGAGGAGCTGCATTATAACAGAGAGTACAGCGTCCTTCGGGCACGCAGCATGTGAACCACCAAGTGCCTGCTTGTGTAAGACGCAGAAGGAAAATAATCAAGGTTTGGGGTAGAAGGCGAGGGTGGGATGTAAAAGTCAAGAGGGGAACACAGTCAACTAGATCAATTGCTTAAACACCGGTCAAGTTAATTAGATGTCTGCAAGGCTTGACATCCATCACATGGTTGTATATGTCTTCAGTGAGCTGAAAGCAAAGAACCTGTGAATGCAACACAACCTGCGATTTGGGGAACTTGGAGTTTTTCAGTTTAAGAGCTGTCCTTGCACTGTGATTAGGCTCTAACAAAAGGTACAAGAACTGGAAACTGCTTCTCATTTCTAAGCAGTATCCAAAGGGGGCGTCAGAGTCTCTTAAACTTTAATTTCTTCTGAAATTGGAGATAGTGGAATCAGTTTCCTCATTTCTAACACAATTAATGAGGTGATTAGCTCCACCCTAGCCCCAGTTTATCTTGGGGTTGTGCCCAGTTATGAACATAACTCTGAAGCAGATGTAGCAACAAACTTCTTGGCCATTGTTAGCTCCTGCTTTTCTTTAAATGCCCCAAGGAGACAACCTGTTTCAGGTGAGACACTATTTGTGTATAAAGATGTGTGTGTGTGTTTTATATATGTATATATATATATAAATAAATATATATATTATATGCATTTTATTTATTTTTCCCCTCACCAACCTGAGAAGGGAAGGTGTCAGACTGTGAAACAGTGACCTAACAAGGTCAAAGCAGGGAATGTCTGTGATCCAGCACTACTGCTCTGGGCAAATTTTGTCCAAAGTTTTCTGCTATTGATGAAAAATCACTCAAAATCAATAGCAGTGGGATAAGGACTCCGAGTGAGTCTGTATCTATCTAAATTGATCAGACATGGGGTAAAATATATATATATATATATTTGGTGATAGCAATGCCCATTTATATAAGAATTCATATATATATATATATGCCAGGCTGTATATCACAGACTATGTATGCAGAGAGTATGCAATTTTAGCCAATTCAGGCCAAAAAAAATGCCATACACTGCTTTAATTAAAAAATAAAAAAAGAAAAAAGAAAAAAATAAGAGAAAAAAGTACATTTTAATCTATCAGAAATTGCCACGTATAATTTTTTTTTTCTCCTAGTACATCTTTTCTACAGAAACTGTATAACGTAAGGGATTGGCCAGCCTCACCAGCACTAGAGATTAGTTTACAGTGTTATCTCAGCTGTTCCTCCATTCCGAGGTGTTACAGTATTTACATAGAAGCCTACTGCTGATATCTGCATTGAATTCCTCCCCAATCAGACCCTCCCTGCCACATCCTACATTCCCTTTGGCTAGAGAGAGAGACTCTATTAAAACTGAGACAAAGCCAGCTCTTGCTGCAGAAGTGACACAAAACAGCCTGTATTTTCTAGTTTCCTTTATAACTCAATATTGGTTTTCTCTACCCTTTCCTCCAGTTTTAGATTTCTAATCCAGGAGGACTCACATCTCAGATCCTCATGCACTTGAGAGCTCATCAATCTCTCTCCTCCCATCTCTCTCTCTCTCCTTTCTGTATACTGCAAGGTCAAATGAAAAGAGCAGAACACGATGCACATAAATCCAAAATCACATCTGCTTCCAAAAAGCCATTTGAAAAGTCCTCAGATAAACTTATACCTTTGGCCAAAACAATCTTTGCTTTCTGTACCAAAGTGCTTTTACAACCTCAAATAAACAAAACAAGCAAACAAAGAAAGAAGAACCTACTGAAGAGTGTTACATATCATCCAGAGGAAAAATACTGTAGCATCTGACAGACCAGGGTCCCAACATGCTGTTTACATTTCTCATGGACATAACTGGGAGGCACCCCAGCAACAAAGGAAAAAACAGCAGTATGGGGTGTTAGGACTGCAGGCAGATCTGCAGTGGACCTAAGTTGCACATATCCTAAAATAGCTCGAACACTCAGGAACATGAGGTCTCAATGCCTACGCAATATTAGTGGTGTAGCGCAAGTACTATGCGTGATACATGCACACAGGCAAAACTGGATGTGTTACTTAACTAACAAGGCACTGCTGTGACTAGAGCCAACAGAACACAAATGGTGGATTATTAGCTCTTATCTCTGCATGCTAAAAATACAAATTAAAAAAAAAAATACACTGTAATATTACAATTCCCCGAAATCCTCACAATCACTAGTCAGCTTTTGAATGAAAGGAAAAGAAATATCTTAAAAGTAAAGCCCTAATTCTTCAAACTTCAAAGCATTAAACACTACCACTGACTTCAGATTTTTTACAGTAGTTAAAACTGCAATCAGAAAATGAAAGCGTGTATAATCTTTCTTTCACATTGTTCTTTTATTATCTGAGGTTGTTCCAGTAAAAACAATAACTTTTCATAACATATCAAACCACAGCATTATTTTGATTTCACAGTACAGCGTATCCTGACCTAGTAGGTCTTAGAACAGAAGACTTCTGTTCTCACTTCAAATCTGCTATTTCTAGATCCGATGGATCATGACATATAAAATCTGTCCTAGCACAGAGCCAAATGTTACCTCTTTTAAGCCTCAGGCCGGTGTAATCTTTGGAAGGAATTTTATTTTTTCAGAAATAAGAAGCCAATACCACTCTGACAGGTTCTATTTTGTCTCATGACAGCTGTTTTGAGTGATATGTGCTTTAGAAATATAAGAAGCATTGCAGTAGGAGTCTTATTGATGGGCAGGAGTCCCGATGTTAAACATACAATATATATCATGAATATCACTGTGATGAATGAGTAACTGTCATGGAGTCAAACGTGGTTATCTATGCTATGAAGATGTCTCTGTGCTATGCAGATAAACAGAGAAGCCATAATCTGCAGTCTCCACCAACAAGCTAAAGTTGTTCCCCATGAAATTCTATTACAAATTTTCAGTCAGATTTTGAAACTCCAAAATAAGAAATCTTTCTCCTCTTCAGCTAGATGATAGTTTCCCAATTTAATTACCATACAGTCAGGCAAACTTCTCTAGAGAATTCATTGAATATTTCCTCTTCTTAGTTATGTCTCACTCACCCTAGTGATAGCCTGTGTCATACTTAATACATTCCTTGTCTTCTCAGCATTTAAAGCCTTCACATAGTTGCAGGCTGTTATCATCTCTTTGTGTCTCTTTCTCTCACTCACTCATGTACTGCTGCACATCTATAATTAACCTAAAACATCTTAAGTGTGCTCTGAGATGATAGAATAACGAGGTGGGCACTGGGAGGTAAAGATGCAGCTAAAGCGTCTTGTTAGGAGGCTGAGAGAAGTACGAACAGGCAACGTAAATGGAGATGAAAAGAGTTTATGCTGTGTCTGACCATCATGAATCATTACTTGCTGCTTGTCACTTACAAAGAAAGGCAGAGACTCTCACTCCCATAGCCCCTTTGCAGCAGAAAGGAGAGAGCCCAGAGACTCTAAAAACACTGGGCCAGCACAGGATAAATTTCTTGCTTCCCAAGGTGCTGGTTTCTCACGAGCCACAGCATAGCAGGTATGATGAGTAGGATGTTAGCTTTTCATACTGTGAAGACTGCAGGCTGCTCTGAAATAAAATACAGCCTGGGGAAACTGCTATAGTTTAGTCTCCTCAGGCTGTTGTATGCATTGAAGGACACAGAGTAGTTCTAGAGGACAGAAATACATCCCAAACACTTCAGCTGTTTGCAGCATGTATCTCGGTTGCCAGTCCTGTGCAGTGTCTCTAAGAGATTACCTGCCTTACATGAGAATGTTGACAGGCAGTTTTTCTAACAGACTCTAAGTCTCATTTCAGCTGTTTTTGTTGTTGTTGGTTGGTTTTTTTACTTAGAAAAAAAAAAATCTGACCTGAACACCAGAAAAGATGGGACATGAAAAACACCTTTGTAGATGTTTGTTCAGTATCACCCCATCATCACTTGAGGAGTGTCTGCCTGTTAGTACAGTATCAACAAATAACAAACCCAAAGGCAACGGGCACTTGCTAGATGTAGCAAGGGTGGTTTGAAGTTCTTTTATATGAGGAATATTTCCAAAAAATACCAACTCTTAAGGCTAAATTCTACCCAGCCAATTAAAACATGTAATAATATTATTTAAACTGCATCCCCTTCTTATATGTGACTGCAAAAAGCTTAAATTTGCAAAACACTTACCCAGCAAGCATAATGGAGTGACATGGGACCTTAGCAGGTATTTCATTTGTAATATGAATTATGTAGATTAATACCTACATACTTAAAGATGACAAAGGAGATCAATTACAAAACAGAGAGAAGACAAGAAAGCAAGAGAGACTCCAGAAGTGACAGCCAAATGCACTTCCTCACCCTGATTTATGTCTCAGTCCACCTTTAGTCTCCTCCAAGTTCATTGTGCTCCTGTTTTTTTGCCATAGATTCTGCACCTGTCACAGTCTATAGAAAGTAATCAGGACCTCATAGCCTATCTGTGTATTGCTTTTCAAATTTAGTATCACAACTGCTACCATACCACTGCCATGAGCAGTTGCAAATCTATTACCAATGACCTCTTCTGGTGGTGTTTCTAGCACTCTGCTGTAACCTTTAAATTTAATTTATTTCTCTACTGCAAGTCCTTTTACAAGGTCTCTGATTCACAGCCACCTGTAGTAATTCATGTCAAAGCCAGTTTCTAAAAACTTTTCAGGCTGTTTCATAGTAGGAACTGGATCTCTTCCCTTCTTCACTGCTTCTAACGTTCCTCCCCTTCATTGAGTTCCCCTTTTTTATTTATGATTTTATCATGTTGCCCCCATCTTCTATTTCATCCTCCTCCTCATGTAATACCCATCTTTTTACATATTTGAGAACCTTATGCTCTCTTGTAGATTGTTGTGTGCAGTCATCTATATAAGATGATAAGAAGATAAAAGAAATGAGGACTCAAATTATTTAGGGAAAGTTTTCCAGAGAAAAAAGAAACATACTTCTCTTCTTCCCCAAATAACGTGCAGTTGTAAGAAGATGAAATCTAATACATGTATCTTTTCTTTACTGGCATATTGCTTAGGATTGTCTTATTTATAACCTACCACATTACTTTGGTCTCACCAATCTGTATGAGCCGTCATTTGAAATCCACTACAATGCACAGAGTTCAGTAATCTGAAACAAAAAGAACCTGAATCTACCAGCTGCTGGAAAGCCTTGTGTGCTTTTCCAGATTGCCTCTCAGCTGCCTTCTATTTTTCAGAATCAGCAACAGATGTCTCAGAATTACAGGAAAAGCAATAGCAAAGCTGTCTATCCAAATTGAATTCTAGCTAAGGAACTTTTAATGAATTTGTTCTCAAATAGGAATAGGCTCTCTGAATCAGAAAAAACAAAGAAACAAACAAACAAAAAAACACAATTGATAAATACATCCATCTGAAGAAATTCCATTTTACAAGTCTGATGAGTGCTGCTATAGAAAGAAAAAAAATGAAAACTATAGATTTATTTTTCAGAAGGACAATATCTGAATCATCACAAATAAAACGTGAGTCACAAATAATTGTAAAACAAAATAATAAATCATAATCACAAAACAAAAC